AGTCATTACCTGGAAACAAGTAATAATCGTATTACTTTATTACTTATTACTTTTTTCAAGTAATAATCTTTTATTACTTTACTTATTACTGATAAGAAGAAAAGTAATAAAAAAGAATAAGTAAAATTATGAAAAATTATTACATAAAGAAGTAATAAGTAATAAAACAACAAGATTTATTACCTTTTTACCGATAATAAGTAACAAACGTGTATTACTTTTACCGGATAATGTAATAATTGGTAAAAGTAAAGTAGTACCCCTAATTTTCACGATAAAAAGGATAAAACAGATATTGACTGAACAATGAAGCGGCACGAGAAATTCTTTGGTATCCAGCGAAGTTTTAGTTTTCAATAGATTTTTGGTTATATTTGATTACTAAAAATGAACAGATTTGTTTCTTCTATAATTTTTTTATAAGTAGCAATGGTAAATCATGTAGAAATAAATAAAAAGAGAAAAAAACAAAAAAAAGAATAGTTACGAGCGAGGACCGAACCTGGGATACGGTCGAGGCAGGCTGCTGAATCCAGTAAGAAATATCGCCTCTTACCGCCGGTTTACCATGAACGAACCGCGATGCCGTGTAGTATTTTCGCGTTTTGCTGGCGGTATACCTCACATGATACCAGGCGATATACCGGTGGTGATCACCCGGTACTTTAGCGGTTTTAAAGACATGGGATTCTGCAAGGGCACTTCTGAAATTTTGTACCAATCCTGGAAAATGTGCTTTTTACCTCTTAATATGATCTGAACACGAGAAGGAACATACTGAGAATGGGATGCTGGAATTTATAACTTATATATCTATATCGATGTACTATTTTCTTTTTCCTTCGATCGTAAGGCTGTCTATATCTCAAGAAAAAGTAGATCATAGCAAGGCGAGTAGCAGTGATATTACTGCCTGTACGCGCAGACGATGTCGTTTGTTTTAAATGAAATAAATTAAGATGAAAATAATTTTTTAAATGAAATAGAAAAAAGAAAATGAAGACCCTGAATGCAAAATTGAACTGAATTTCTTAATTTTCTTCCAAAATATTTCCGGGGCTGTCGTCAGTCAATAGAAAAGAATATGTTTTCTTATCGTTCCACTTAATGTTATTCTCGGAATAATAAAGCGAAAGAAAAATTAGAAAAAGTCATTTGTGCTGCCACGTGTAGTGAGTCACATTAAATTTGAGATAGCAGAAAAGAGACTTGTGTAAATAAAATGAAAAGAACATGCAGGAACAGTTAACTTCAAATAAATTCTTAATCGAAAGCCATCCAAAATCTGTCGGAATAAAGCGTTTATATGCCATATCAAGCGGTGCTCGATGAATATTCCATTTGGAACGTGCTTTTATAACGAAATATTAGTGAAAGGATTCTATTAAGGTGCGCGTAATTCAAAGTTACCATGCATTTTTATTTTTAATTCAAATAGATATATTCTGATAGAGCAAAGTGTGCTGATCACGAAAATCGCCGTCCGAGTTTAAAAAAATACCATCTTCAGGAAGAAAGCCCCGAAATACTGAGCTCGGGTCAAAAACACGAAAAAACGCATCTTTTCAGAACATGTGCTGTCGCCATTTCAGATTGCATTTCAACTTTTTTTAACTGATATTTTCAGATTCTACATCGAAAAGTAAATCTAGAAAACTGTGTTTTAAAGTTTTTCAGCAGAAACTAAAAAATATCAAGAGGTTCAACCGGCGGAACTCGAAGTTCGACCCATCGATCTCGCAAAAACATCAAGTCCTTAGGGTTGTGAACTAGCGACCTGATTCTTTCGCCATAAGATTCACCATGAAATTTAGAATAAAGTTATACATGTACATGTACATTTTTGAATTTGTTCTTCAGCATAGGGAAAAAAAATAAACATTGAAAAACGGCGCGTTTTGCCCAAAATCGGCTCAGTGATTTTTTCCTAAACCTTGAATTTCCGTTCAAATCGCGTCAAAGTCATGGTATATACCTTAAAAACGATGACGAATCTGTGGTAATTCGTGGTAATGTCGTTCGCGGAAATGTCGTGTCCCGATATTATCTGTATTCATTGTGCCAATTATTGGTTTGATATGTGAAATATGTGTGCCACCGAAATGTACTTTCCGTTTTTTATGAAATTGTTGATTAAACTTAATCATCTTGTTCGTATATGAAAAATGAAAAGATATTGTATTGCTATTGTCCACACTTTTATCGTTGCTCTTTCTTGTATTTGGTGGGGTTGTTGTTGAATTATACTAAAATTATTACTGTATACTCGATTTATGTTATATGCTGATAAAAATTGTATTGTTATATTGTTGTTTAACGAACATCGAAATGCACGTATAAAAGAACTGTGTAGAATATTCCACTTATCGAAATCCTTCTGGCTGACTCTGCGATGCAGCAGCTTCTATACAAATCTCTTGAGATGCTGAAGAAGTCAAGAAATCAGACTATTCTGTCATTATAAGTAGTAGTGCACAAAACTACAAGAAAACAAGTGTCTAAGTCCATGCAAATAAACCATATGTTACTTCGATTCCACCCGTCGGATAGCGTCACTCACCCTTTGAATGTACGAGTGAGATGGTGGGAGAGATTTCTTCCAAATGACGAGACACTTCTCGAAATACTCCAGAGCTCTCGTCAAATCATTCTTCTCTTCATACACACGACCGATCGAATAGTAGGTAGTAGCTACATTCGGATGATCAGGTGGAAGTGACTTTCGCTCCATCTGGAGACTTTGATTGTAATAAACAAGAGCTCGATCGTACTCTTTCTTGTCGAAATACACATGGCCAGTCTCAGCCAGACTACTTGATATGTAAGAGTAAGTCGGGGGCAACACCTTGTACATGATAAGAGCACGATGATCATAAGACAAGGCAGAATCATAATCTCTTTGCCCATAGTGAACATTACCGATTTGACATAGAGTATGGGCAGTTTCAACATGATCAGCAGGAAGCTTCGCTTGTTTTATAGTCAAAGCTTTGTGCGAGTAAGAAAGCGCTGTTTCGTATTCTTCTTTCTCCCTGTGCACGATGCCTATCCAATCATAACAGTAAGCAATGTCTAGTGTGACATGTGCATGTTGAAACTTCTTGTACAGTTTCACGGCTTCATTCAAATGATCGAGTGCAACATCATATTCTCCTTGTGATGCACTTACTTCGCCGAGTCTCCGATGACACAGAGCAACATTTATATCATCATCGCTCAACTCATCCAATACACGAGTGTAGTATTGTTTCGCTTTCTCATATTCACCCATTTCGAACAGAATCAACCCAAGTGAGACGAGACTGGCTTGTTCATCTCCACCACCAACACTCTTCTTCTGATACGCATACATCTCCTTGATATTTTGATCATCTTCATTACACAACGTTAGCCTGACACACCACAATGCCTCTCTCTCATCGAACATCACATTCTCAAGTCGAAACACAGAACCAAGAGTAAAGAGAACTTCTTTCTCACTCTGAAAGTAGCTCATATCACTGATATCAGCAAATGCACGAGTCTCGAGTCGAGTGTCTACTTTGATCTCGAAGAACACACGCTGCAAAGTGTCAGAGGAAACAATCTGACGTGCAAATATCAGCGCCTCATCTTTGTTGAGACTCGTCGAGAGAAAGCTGTTAAATGAAATCAACTGTCCTTCTCCACATCTCAACTTGTTCATCTCTTCTGTCGCCACTGCTTGACCACGATAGGCTCGAATTACACCCTTCTTCCTGGCGAACTTTCGATGTTCATCTGTCAGCTGTTGGCTAATATCTTTGATGAAAAATCTCATTGAGAAGAGAAGATCAATGTCTTGAAGTCGAAGAGCTTTGTTGAGGATGCGATAGAGACAAGAGTCTCGAGTGTACCACCAAATACTCATTTGTGGATGATAGTCTCTTTCAAATTCTCGAATCATCGCTTCTTCATGTGGATTATCGGCATAGCTCTCCTTGCACATGATGACCAGTTGTTGGGTGTCACTAGTCGAATGAGGAAGACGCAGAAGGACGTCGATGAACAGTTGAAACCACAGAAAGGTGCCTCCAAGACCACTTTGTCCATCTCTCGCTGAATAAACAGCGATGTTGTTCACTGACTCTTCTGTTCTTGATCGAACTCGCTGATCAGTTGATACTCGATTGACTAACTCATCCGAGCGTACGAATACGCCTTGGATCTGAAGTGGAGAGAGTACAAGAAGATGTTATCCGAAGTGAGAAGAGTATCATTTACTTTATTGAAGTTTCTCGCCCACTTTTCGTTTCTTTCTCTGTCCAAACAGTAGACATAGATGGCCGATAGTTGAGAGAGATGATGAATGTTCGGTACGAGTTGGTGTCCCAATCCTCCACTGACAATCAACACAACTCTTTCGTCCTTCACCTGTCCAATGTACTCTTCACAAGCATGTGATGATTGGAAGGTCTTGAGAAAGTTGATTGATGCACGTAGCTGTGATTGTGTTTCTGTGTTCTCTGCTGTGGAGTCAACATTCGCATCAAGCCACAACAATGAAAATGTCTCGAGGTTAGTGCTGCGTCTATCATTTATTCTCAGTTCGACCATTTATTCTCAATTAGGATCTCGTTTGATCAGTAAACGTTGTTATTTGCGTATTCATAATAAAAGCTGAAATTTAGTATTAGAAAATCAAAATGTGATCCGATACGTTTGACAAAAGACGTATGGAATTAGACTGCAAATAGCAGCGATCAGTATCTGGATAAAAGCCAGCGGAGAAAGATATAGTATGACTAATAGTTTGATAAAAAGTATCTACATGACAACGTAAACCTAATGAAACATGATGTTAGCAAGAGAAACGACATTCCCTCACAAACCATAAGCTTCAATCGGATCTTTGTTTCAGCATCTTAAAGAACGATTCGTATCTAAGTCAGCTCGTCCTGCCTCTAACTCTTATTTTCTATATGATTCATTAGAGTTCGTGATAGTCAGCGGCTTAAAGTTTAAGTAATTATTTTTTCCGTTTGCTCCTCAGATTACGTAAGTGAATTCGTAGCTGTACTAGGGATGCAACGGTAACGGTAGCCGCATCTTACCGGTTACCGTTACCCGTCCAACCGGTTCTGGCCGGTTTCAACCCGCGACGATTGCAAAAGCTACGGTCAGAGTTGTACATGTACGAATTAGTTTTTGCCCCTTCCCCTTTGATACGAAATTTTTTATTAGATGTTTTTTCTAACCACTTCTTCTTGGACAGCACACTATTGCTTGTATACCAAGAATTTGCTTCATAAAACAGTCAACGTATAAAATAATAAACTTGAAAAACAAAAGAAATATTTGCTACACAATTCAAAACACAAGATAAATGTTTCTTTAATCACAGTTCTCTGTTAATCAACATAATGTTGAAGAAAAACACTTTTTAACGTGGGACAATCAGTGTAACTCAAACTAACTTAAGAACTCACATCACTCACAGAACCTGTTGGATCGGTAACGGTAACCGGTCAGAACTGGTAAAACTGGTAGCGGTTAACCGGTTGTCAACCGTTACTAGACATGCAACGGTAACGATTATCGATCCTTACCACTTATCATTTAATCGATTATCGTTTATTACCGATTATCGTCTTGCCGATTATCGCTTCGTAACGAATATCGTCTATCGATTATAAGGAAAAAAAGGATGATGAGTTTATCCTTGCTACAAACTCATTTTTTCTATTTTGATTTTGCTTAGCAAACGTCAGAAACTTATCGGTTTTATCGGTAAGATGCAATAACTATGATAACGACAATCATTAAGAATCGATAATCGGTAAGAAGCGATAATCGGTAAGATACGATAAAACGATGACGATAAACCCATAAATTATCGTTACCGTTGCATGCCTAAGCTGTACATGGATATAGGAACTAAGTCTATTATTTAGTTTATCATCAGAGAGTCCAAGTCGTGGCTATACTGTATTGTTTTGCTTTGTTTTTCGCATCTGTGACTCTCTGCAGTGTACCTTATAGGATTTGGCGAAGCAGTGAGAGTATGGTACCTCGAAGCGATGAGAAAAGGGTACTATGTAGTGGAGAGGGAAGGTCCTTAAATGTTCTATCGTACAATCGAAACGTACAGAGTTATAGGTTATTTTCGATGCTGATCATGAAACGGATGTCTGTTTATGTCCATATGGGCTTTTCGGGACAAACCAGTCTCTGGAGACTCATCTTAAAACCTAATATAAAAAGATTTGATTTGTTTATCTTGTAGAGAATGTTGATTTACATGTTGATACAGACATCAGTTTCGTGATCAACATCGAAAATTACCTATAACCATGTACGTTTCAAGGAAAAACCGAAAGAACACTTAGGAACCTTCCTTCGTGAGTCTCAATTGTGCTCACTGGACTTGTTCCGTCTTACGAAAAACAATTTTCGTTGATCGATCAACGACTGTAATGATTTGTGTAAGCCGAAGACGTGACTAAGAAATTGTTGTTAAATTTGTTTTTTTATAAAAGTATAATTATATGATGTGTTTTTAAAATAATAGTATAAGAATAGTCTATATTTTAGAAAAAGTCACACGACCGATTTCATATTATTTCTTTTTTTCTCTTTGATTTCTTCACGTTTGCAAAACAATTGGGAAAGTTCAAAAGCGTTGACAAAAGACATCAGACTATAGATCGAACAAAACAAGCAAGGCTACGAAAAGCAGTCAAGCGTGTGAAAATAACGTGGTTTTTTTCAACGTAGAATGCATTGTACCATTGATGTCATAATTATTCAAAATAAAAGATTTCTAAGAAACAGCATGCTCGTAGAAAAAGAGCTTATCAGCCTATTAGCACAGGGAGAGACTAAATTTGAAACTCCTGGCAATATGAAGTATTATGGCAAGCTATGTCTAGAAGCAGATTTTAACGCTTTGAGTATCCTAACTCTGATGCTGAATGGGCAACTCGAAAGCTCAGAATAAAAATTTATTAATAAAATTCAATTCAATTAAGAAATGACTTTAGCTGCAATTGATGATAAAACAGAAACTTTTATTGTAAAAGTCCTTCCATTAACTAAAGTTACTAGAAACACTTATTGTGTAAAAACAGACCAAGTCTGCCTGCTAAACTACAAATGCTCACAGCTGTAGCTACAGTCCTCCGCAAAAGTAGTGCCACCCGTGTAACTCAAGAATCATGACGGCTAGGAACTTCTAATTTTGTGTAGTCATAGCTTTTAGTGAATTCTGATCCCCACCAAGTTTGTACCTCTTTTACTGGCTAGTTCTTGAGATATAAACGATTTATTTCCTTTTCGTAAAATATCATTAGCTCCTGACCTAAGAGAGATGAAACTGTTTTCTTTCTACTGAAATGTAGCCACGATTCTAGTCTATCCAAGATATGAATTTCGAGAGTTGCCTATAAGTAGTCAGTCAAATACAGCTATTTTACGGGCGAGGATCGCTGTTGTTTTGTTAAAAATTCAATGTCCTTTCCGAAAAAAAATCACAACTCAATCTAGAAGCATCATTTTAAATTCAAATTCGCACCACAGACTCTACAGTGTCTATAATTAAGCCAAAGTATGAAGGTTAACTATTGTGCGGTTCTGGATATTCACTGAGAACCACCACCCACCATTGAAAAACACATTTCTGATATGTCATAAACTTTTTCATTCCTCATCTTTTAGAATTTTCTCAATCATGGTCTGAATCAACTGGAAGTAATCGAAAAAGCTGGTACGGATAGCGATACACCTGGATAATTTACAGAGTATACATTTTAATATTTGGTTATGCTTTCACATGATTCATTATAATCGATATAATTGATTGAAATTGAAGATTTAAATAAACATACAGATCTTGTTTACGCAAGTGGAAATAATCCAAAAGGTCATGGTACGATAAATAGACAAGTGTGCAGTGCGGGGAAACAAGACAACAATAAAAGTTTATTTTTTCTATTTTAAATAAATTTGTCTGAAGTTTTTTTCTCCTGTTTTATTTTATTTTAGCATTGGCGGTGTTAGAACCCGTTATGATTGATTTGTTTTTACTGATTAATATGCAATCAGCCAGATATATCCAGGTGAGAAAATGAAAGTGACAAAATAGTTGAGAATTCATTGTTTTTTCTGTACTTTCGAGTCAGTCCGAATTTCATTAGATTTATATACGGCATATTTGCGATTATTTGATTCTGTCTCATTGGCTGCATTACGATCCGCAGATCCTTTATGTAAAGCATTTAAACGTATGACGACAACACGTAGGTAAAGTTAGCACCAGATTCGAATATTTTCGCCCCAGATTCATTTCTAAACTTGGTCCAACCTGGAAATGACTTGGTCCAGATAGAGCTCAACAAGCTCTACAAAACCCTGTACTTCCTTTCTCAAAACAAACAGTGGTTTATGAGAAAAACTTAAAAAACTGGTTTTTATAACCAGAAAAATTGCGGTTTTTCAGTACACAATTCACAGATTCATTCAAAGACTTGGTCCAAAGCCAAATTGCACACTGTTGGATAGAGCTCATCGAGACACATCCAGAAATGTCCTCTGATATCCTTCATCTCAACAAAAATATTAGAAAGTTTTCCAAAGATCCTTTTCCTCCCTCGTATTCAGGAATAAACGTTCCGCAGATTCATTCCAGGACTTGGTGCAAAGCTGAACTGAACATTGTTCGAAAGAGCTCCGCGAGACGCATCCAGAAGTGTTGCTATGATTGCTCAATGTCGGCAAAAGCATCGAGAAAAACGATCCATTTTAGACGGTATTTCTCTCCTCACAGCAGGAGCTACGCGCGGTTTGGATACAAGGAACGCAATTGAAATTAAAAAATTGCAAACAAGAATGAACGATTTTGCGTCATCGTTAAACACCATGTCTAATAAAGTTGATGTTCACGGAGCGCAAATCGTTCATTTAAATGAAGGACAAGTACGACTTGGTCGGGGATTGAAATATACTCAAGAGAGTCTGAATTCTACAATTTCACGGGTGAATAATATTGTAATGGCTGTCAATGCATTTAGTGTAAGTTATCCTGTTATTCATTTATCATTTTCTCTAATGAAAGATCTCTTGCTTGGATTTGTCGGCCGATCAGCCCAGTTCATTAGCTAATTTCTATTGTATTTTTTAATTTTATAAGATTCTGTTATGTATCTCGCAAGAGAACTTGGCGAATTGAAACTTTCGTATCAACAGTCATTATTGTATTCCGCAATGAATGATATGTTAAACAATACACCGACTTTATCTTATGTTCATAACAGGGACATGGATGTACTGATAGCTTCGGTGCTAAATGATATTGATTTGTACATAAATACAACCTATGCTGAGTATGGTTTAGCACAATTATTGACTGAACATCTCTTCTTCCAACATATTTCGCTCGTCTCAAGCAAAAACTATAACACTCCAAATAAAGACGAAATAGGTAAGTTAACTGAACAACACTATTAGCCACGTAAATCAATGTATTAGTCTTGAGCATCACTGTAAGAAAATACACTAATACATAGGTGCCACGATCTGAAATTTTTTAGAAGAATTCAATTACAGGAAAACTTTCGTGAAATTGTACGACATTAAGCGGGTCCTCACAGCGAAATTAGCCAAAAGTCTTTAGTTAAAATAAAGACATATTTAACCTGATACATTTGTCTTCTTTTAAAATACAGATTTTGTGTCTCCATCCGAAAGGTTCTTAGCAGAGACGGGCGACTCCGAGGTGAAAGACTCGATAAACTTGATAAACTGAGTCGAGATCGAGTCACTTTCGAGTCAGTCATGTGCAACTTGGGATTGTTATGACGGTGTTTATTATATTTGTTTTATATAGCAAAAGAGAGAGATTTGAGAATATTCTAAATAGAACATTGCGTCACATGAGAGGATTGAAGACCTGTTCTTGGAAAAAGGAATCAGGCGGAACTTTTCCTCTAGAAAATGACTCGAGGTGACTGCAGTCAACTTTTGATGCAGCTCGGACTCGGACCTCGACTCGAAGGCTACCGACTCAGACTCGAAAAAGTGGTGACTCGCCCATCTCTGATTCTTAAGTGTCTTCCAGAAGGTTTTTCAAAAACCCTAAAACCGTACGGCTTTATAGCTGATGAAATAATCAAACTAGGAATGTTAATTTAGTTTTATTGCTCATTTATAATAATGGATAAATATAAATGAATCGTTTACTTTTATAAAATAAAGATAAATTTTTTTTTCACTTATTTATATTTACTTTTAAAATAAATGAATCATTTATATTTATTTTCTTTATTTTACCTAAGAAATAAAGAAAATAAATATAAATGATTCATTTATTTTAAAAGTAAATATAAATAAGTGAAAAAAAAATTTATCTTTATTTTATAAAAGTAAATGATTTATTTATATTTATTTTCTAAAATAACACTAAATTAACACCCTCATATCCAACAGTAAATAGATCCACCATTTTCCTCGTTGCTTACCGTGAACCTGCAGTTCAGTAATATCGAATATTTGTACTTTTTAGGTCGAATTGTTATTACTAATTTTTTTACTTTGCCACCAATTCCGCCATCACTATTTTCCGTATATGAAGTTAAATCCATACCACATTTTCATAAAAGATATTATGTTCGTCTGAATAACTTACCCATTTATGTTGGACAAAATCGAGCTGATAATACTTACATTGAGTGGTACTCAGCAGATGTTGCAGCATGTAAATTTGGATCTGTCATTACGTGTCGCGATAATCAACCGGTTACAGATGAAATAGCTAATCCGTGTCTTGCCGAAATACTCAATGATCAACAGTTAACCCAATGCCATCCAGAACGATTGTCACCTATGCCCCATTTTGTAACACAACTATCTGGCTCATTATGGGTTGTGTCCATCAACTCAAGTATTACCTGCAACAAATATACTGATAAAACATCCAAATCACCAGGCAAAGCACGGAAGTATTATAATGAACCACTATCTCCGGTTTCCATCGTAAATGTTTCACATGGTACAACAATAAAATGTCCGGGTAATCCCGGTTTTGGCTTAAGCGCCCCGTCGCTTCCCTCTCAGTCAACGTCATATGTTATTCTACAAAACGGAACACTGAACAGTCCAGAAAATGAGATATTTGAGATGGTGAAAAGTTTGAATAGTTCTAGTGTATGGGATAATTTACCGTATTTACGAGGCGACGTTGATAATATTATAAACTTTATTAATCAAGTACCAAAACCAGAGTCAACTCAGTGAGTAATTTGTTTATTACGTAATTATTTTTTCCCGTAAAAAGTAAAACATAGTTAATTTTGATGGTTAAGCAGCTTCTTTCCAAACCGTTGTACAGGTCCGAACGCCTCTCTTACAATGCACATGCGTCATATCATCTCTGAATGTTCTAGTGTACCATCAATGCCAATGGCTCGAACAACATAGTTTTACATTCTGTCTGCTGTGACTGTAACTAGGATTTTGGTAACAGTAATGATAATCTACTGCTGGCATAAATTTAGTTGTACCGTAAAACGCATGCCATCTCAAAATACTGAGTTACTGGACTATTATCATACAAAATGCTTAGAGAAACAACAATCACAATAACAAATGACTACTATTACTCGAACACATCTCAGTCTTTATTTTAATTTGATATACTACTTCTAATGCCGCACGCATCTTCTCTACTTCCACGTAGCTATTTTCTGTTACTTTTTCATGTATTTTCTTGGGAGTACAGGTTGTATATGCATATACAGTACAATAAAAATAGCATCTATGGAACACTTTCTAATCTCTTTGTTGAGATGGAGGTCATCAGCGGACACGTCCGGATGGGTCTCGATGAGCTCTGTCGAACAATGTTCATTTCAGCTTTGGACCAAGTCGGGCAATGAATCTGCGGAACGTTTATTCCTGAATACCAGAGAGAAAAAGGATCTTTGGAAAACTTTCTAATATTTTTGTTGAGATGAAGGTCATCAGCGGACACTTCTGGATGCGTCTCGATGAGCTCTACCGAATCATGTTCAGTTCAGCTTTGGACCAAGTCGGGCAATGAATCTGCGGAACGTTTATTCCTGAATACCAGAGAGAAAAAGGATCTTTGGAAAACTTTCTAATATTTTTGTTAAGATGAAGGTCATCAGAGGGCACTTCTGGATGCGTCTC